AGAATAATGACTTGGGTGAATACAATGCAAGTTTGAAACATATTTGTCTTTGTTTTCACTGTTTAAATATCATGTCTGTTTATTTATTGATTTTGTATTTAATTATTTAGCGGCCCGATAGAGTGGATGCTTTACGTCGGGTTATGCTTGCACGACGGAGTTCACGCATCAGACAGCGTGCACGTGCTATTAAGTCTCCGTACACCCCAATAGTGCGAAGACACCGCAAGAAGAAGCCCGACTCGCCTGTCATCCCTCAAGAGTCCACTCCTATCGTTGAAGAGGCCCCCCATATCATTCCTCGAGAGTCCCCTCCCACCGTTCAAGAGGCCACTGTCATCATTGAAGAGGTCCCTCCCACCATTCAAGAGCCCGATTCACATGGCGTCATATGTAGGCTTCTTGAGAAACCCTCTGACGTGCCGGACATGATGGATTCAAGTTGGCTCTCGTATGAGTTACCGGCCAGTACCATACCGGTATCTGAAGAGGAGAGGGAACAACTACCGGACACAATTTTGGATAACACCCTTTGGGCTAAGACCGCAGTTGATTTTTATCTACATGAGCGGAGCAAGGGTGTTTCACTGACATATGCAAGCTCACCGATGATATCTTTTTGTTGCTTGAACGGCCTTGGTGGGGCGTATTATTAGGGGTCGAAGACAATGGCTATTTCGATGGGGGGGTAAGTCTTATATTTTTCTTATATTTCTTATATTTTTCATTTCGCATTGCGATTCTTTCGTTGCGATTTTCATTTCGCATTGCGATTTTCATTTCGCATTGCGATTCTCTCGTTGCGATTTTCATTTCCGCATTGCGATTTTCATGTTGGGATTTTCATTTCGCGTTGCGATTGTATTTTCCGTGTTGCGATAGTCAAATGCATGCCTAATAGTGATAACAACTGAATAACAAGAGTTGGTTAAGTCAAAATGGTTGGCCTGAGTCATTAATTCAACTGAAAATGTTAAAAGTTCACACATAAAATCCACATAATACAACGTTTGCATTTAAAAATCACCTAAGTTAACAGTCTCAAAAGGTGAAGCCAATCGTGATTGGGATTTTAAAGATGATTGCCTTTTGCTTGACACCATATGAGCTTTGGATTTTGATGAGGATCCATATTTTGGTAGAGGAAAAGATGATTTGATGGCACTGGTGATCCACATGTCAACCTTGTATGACCACTTTCCTTGCACCGACTACATGTCGATCTCTTCTTCTCTTCACCCTTAGACGGTATACGATCGTGACTTTTTGGTCGGCCAGGTAGCCTTCTGTCCATGGCTGGTGGCAAAACTGTTTGTAAGTCATCTGGTATGTCCCACTCAGAAGGATGTGGAATAGGGTAGACAATCTCGGCATAAGTCTGTCGATAAACTTCTGTAGTGTAGCAATCCATAGCGTATGCGCTTGAATCATCTTGGTTTAAATGAAGAGCAACTTTTATAACATGGCCACACGGATAACCAGATGTTTGCCATTTCATACAACTACACGTCTTTGCATTTAGATCGACTAGCCCATTTAAGTTATTATCCAGTACTTGAAACAAAGTGTTTGAACATGGTTCAACTCTCCATGACGTTGACTTCACAACACGTTTCGTTATCTTTTTTCAGTCCATGGTGTAACACGATGTTCCAATGTTCCTGTAAATTTAAATAAACAATACTTAGTAAAATATATAAATATGATAAGTTACGAATTCAAGAAATAATACCTGCATGGTTTCTTTTCTTGTAGTACCACTGTTGAATAGAGGCTCGAAAAACTCCATTAACATAGTAATGGGTAATTTCCGGGAATGACGACTTAGAGCGTTGATTGATTCTGCACTATTAGACGTCATGAAACCATATCTTGCTCCAAGTTGATGTACTCTTGACCATCTTTCAAACCCGACATCTTCTAGTGTTTGAGCACACTGAGGCAAAACACGTCTTAAACAATTTATATGCTTATTGAAATCCACTTCCCGATAAGCTTTTACAGCCTTCCAGTATGTCCATTTGTGCTTTTTTATACCAGCAGACCTTGATTTTAGATTTCTATACAAATGAAACCACAAAGTCCATGAAAAGCATCTGGGAAACACCTTCTAACAGCGTTGTCAATTGAGTTTGCCCTATCGGATATGATTGTCAGATTGCTAATAGGACCTATGCAATCCCTAAGATGCCCCATAAACCATGTCCATGAATCAGAGGTTTCAGATTTGCCAACCCCGTAAGCTATTGGCAATATCCCATTGTTAGCATCCATGGCTACTGCTAATAAGTTTACTCCAAGGTATCGACCTTTCAAATGTGCTCCGTCAACTATAATAACTGGGCGCATGCAAGTAATAAACGAACGAATCTACAAAATAATATACACAAGAAATATAATCATTTAAATGTGAAATGCATGTAACTAACAAAAATGAGTCAACAAAATTATATTGATTACTAACCGTAGCACCAATGGCGATAAACAGCAACTCAAAGCGTCCATCTCTATCTGTTTTGATATGAGTTACCGACCCAGGATTTTTCAGCTTTAAATTGTGACAATAAGCCGGCAGTTGGGCAAACGATGCTTCTGGCGACCCCCTCAACAATTCCAAGGCATAACATTTGGCTCTCCAAGCTTGAGAATATGATATACTAATCTTGAACCGAGCATTCATGTCAGTCATAATTTCATGTCCCCGATATACCCTGCCATTCAAAAACATTAACTCAGCCAGAAAACCACCCAACACCTTTTTGTTTGCCTGTCTATGGTGAGGAAAAACTTGGGTTCTTGAACATGTATGTTTATCAATAAAAGTCCTAACTTGAAACATTTTGCAATCTTTTATTCTCTTTGCAATCATACGCCACGTACAGTTTTTGTCAATCATACACCTTGTTTCGAAACGATCTTTGCTTGATTTGTTAACTTTAGTTGATAGCCATCTTCCACACATTTCGTATATAAAGCTATCTTCAAGTCTTCCTTTGTATCAAAACAATCATCTTTCTTGATACGAATAACTTTTGTGTAACAATCAACTGCTTTCTTTATCAACTCTTCTTCCGGTATCTGAAGTAATTCTGGCATATTCCAGTTATACGCCCGTGGCATTTTCTTTCTTCGGGGACTTTTTCTTCTTCTTTTTCTTCTTCAGGATTATATGAATTACAGAATGGATGTTCAACATGTTCATTCACAGTCGTAACTTCCTCCTCATTATCATCAACATTACATTCTTCGGCAACGGCTGTTTCATCATCAAAATTCGGGTATTGACCAATATCAATATCATTACACGCATGGTCTGTTTCTTCTTCTGAAACATCATCAAAATCCGTGTATTGACCAATATCAAAGTCCGGATATTGACCAAGACCAAATTTCGAATACTGACTAGTACTCACAATTTTTTCTGTTGGCTCATCATCGTCTAACTGGTCAATACGAAAACCGGAATTTGGTGCTGAAAGTTGATTGGGATTTGGATTAGAGAAAGGTTGTGGGTTTTGAGAAAAACTTAGTTGATTACTACCCGCTACTGACCCAACAATACTACTTCTAGGTTCAACAACATACAATGTAACATCATCTTGTGAAACACTAATGTAAGCAATGAATCGTTCAACATCTTCATTGTCGGTTAACAAATAAACTTTACCATTTCTCTGATAAGATAGCCTAAATCCACTTAGGGGCTCTAAATTCAATTTATTTGAAACACGTAGCATTAGAGTTTCATAAGTTAACTTTTGTAAAGACAATTTTAGTTGAAGATTCATGGGTAAAGGCATATATTGTAAACACCATGAACATTATCCCATGACCCTCCAAAACACAAATCTATCCAAACATGATCAACATTAGATGATTTCATGGTTGTAAATTAATTTACTAAACAGACGAGCTGCGAAACTAAAACCTGTTGCCGGATTGGGAAGGATGTCGTTGGATATAGGAACGGATGTCGCCGGAGAGAGTGATAGATGGAGATGGAATGAGTTGCGATTTAGGGATTTAGTTTATGATTTCAGTGTTATATACCCAAAATTTCAGTGTTGTGATTTACAGATTCTCGTTGCGATTTACGGATTATCGTTGCGATTTACAGATTCTCGTTGCGATTTACGGATTATCGTTGCGATTTATGGATACGCGTTGCGATTTACGAATTATCGTTGCGATTTACGGATACGCGTTGCGATTTACGGATACGCATTGCGATTTACGGATACGCATTGCGATTTACGGATACACGTTGCGGTTTACGGATACGCGTTGCGATTTACGGATACGCGTTGCGATATACGGATACGCATTGCGATTTACCCATACGCGTTGCGATTTACGGATACACGTTGCGATTTACGGATACGCGTTGCGATTTATGTGTTCGCGTTGCGATTTTCATATTCGCGTTGCGATTATGGAAAATCGCAATGCGAATTTGTACTATCGCATCGCGATTTTCAAGAATCGCGTTGCGATTTTGGAAACTGATTTGCGATTCTGGGGATCGCGTTGCGATTTTTATTTCGCGTTGCGAATTTGTTGGTCATTTTGGCAAATCCAAAAAAAGTTGGTTAAAATCGTATATTATAACTTTTTTTTGGTCACTGAGACGATTTTCTCTATTTAATAACCTATCTAAAATAATGGGCATGACTTGACCCTTTAAATGCATGTGCATCCGCCTCTGACACGTACACCTTAACAAACAAATTAAAAAATTTCAATATTAAAATTTTAAACTAAAAAATATAAATATTAACATCTTTAAAAATAAATAATAAACACAAATAAACTATTATTCTTTTTGAGCTTGGACCATTTAGGACTCCTAAATTACAAATAATAATATTTGTTATTTTGGGTAAAAAAATAGACGAAAACAAGTAATAATGAAACGCTGCGTTTAGAAGTGAGTTATTGATGTTTTAACGTGCTGAAGTGCTCATGGAGACACCGAGATTGGATCAACTTTGAGAGGAAGTGCAGTATCAAATCCAAAATAAAGAACTTCCTTGAAAAGGAAAACCAGAAAACAAAAACAAAAGGCATAAAAGGAATATTATCCCAAATTCACAACTATGATAGGTAATTCCTTTACTTTCTTTTTGCTAATAAAATTCTACTATTCTGTTGCTAACCAAGTTTGTTGAGAGTTAAAATCAAAGCTCGTATTAATGGTGCAACAAAGCTTTAAAATACAGAATCTAGAGAATCGCAATCATATATTAGCTGTTCAACCTGATAAATCACGGATCAACCGTAAAACTGAAAGGGCAGTAATAAATACTGTTACCCTGATTATATAAAAATACATGAAACATGATCTGCTTAATCTTTTAATACTAAACCTTTTTCAATCAATTGTTAGAAGAATCGTTTATGATATGCTTCCTTTGACATTGATTGTTGATCTATGTTTACAGACCATGCTCAGGAGCAAGAGATGGAAATTGAAGCCCTGGAAGCAATACTTATGGATGAATTCAAAGGTTCCTTCTTTTGTTGAACTCATGCTTTCAGCCTGCTAAAAGTTCCCATTCCCTCCAGACCTGCAATGATTGCTTCTTTTATATCAGAAATTCACTCCGCGGAGAGTGGACTAAGCATTTCAAATAGATGCTTCCAAATTACAATATCTCCTCAGGTGCATTTTATCGGAGACATAAAGTTATCTACCATTCTAGTTGTGTCATTGCTTCTTCTTGTGTGTGTGTGTAAGCTCATTTCATTCTAGCTTTTTTGGTGACCTTAAAATGCCACAACCTAACAGACGTAGAGCCATTTACTGAGTAGTAATAATGCACCTTTAAATGATTAAGAATGTTTACAAGCTTAGCTTCTGGTTCAATATCATTATTCCTTCTCCACAATTCTAATTTCCACATTGTGTTTGACAGGGTGATGACACAGATCAATCAACACCAGGTTATTCTTTTGTTACAACCCAACAAATTGTAGTGTGTGATATTATCTTCTGACGCATTTATACTCATACATGGACAAAATTTACAACATCAACATGAATAATTTTTACATTTTTTATGAACTTCTATTGCTGCCCTTAGTTCAGGGTTGTCTGTTTCCCTGTGAACATAAGTTGTTGCCCAAACTTCTGGTGCAGTTCAGCTTGCTTTGGTTTTCTCACATACAGAAAAATATCCAGATGAACCTCCACTTCTTAATGTAAAAAGGTCAGTATGTCCTTTCAGTGGAATGTACCTATAGGCTATATGAATGCTGATATTTATAAGCATATTTCTGTATGTCCCCGTTTTCCCAAGTGATCTGGGAGAAATGTTTGTTCCTTTTGTTTGAAGCTCATGTGGGCTTTGCTCCTTGGGGAGGATGGAAAGTCTTTAATCCAAAGATTGTGCCATAAAAAAGGAAGGTGATTATGAATATTATCCATTAGGTAGAATAATCCACCATCCCTTTTCCCTTTACATTTCCCATATCTGGCAAAATCTGAATGTTTCCTTGATCACAATGGCTGTTCCCTTGTTACCATATAAGATTGTTCCCGCAAACAACTGACTTTTTCTTTACTAACTGTATTTGTGTTTTTAATATTCGGTTAGAGTTACATGTTTCATTGATTGCACCAGATCTTGAACTGTGAGATCATATCTTTTTGTTATCCACGAAATTAACTCTTCAAAACTGTATTTCCCCTTCAATTTTCGAACTCAATTTCACTATTGAAAGAGAATAAGTTATTAAAAATGAATAACCAAATATACCCTAATAGTTCTCATTTTATTTTTGATTTTCATTTTCTGATTTAGTCTTTAAGTGACCTTATGTGAAAGACTGCAGTAACATGTCAATGACAGCTATGCGGCTATATCCTAGTGTTTTATTCTTGCTGACTAGCTTGCATGGTTTCTTTATTGTGGACTCTAACTGATACAATTATTCAGACTAATATACGTACTCATTTTGAATGTTATTAGGTATGCATAATGATGTTATTTAACATATTTCATGGATATCAAGGACTGTGTCAAATTTCTGCTAGTTGCTTGCTGATTAATCCATTTACCGGAATTGAATGGACTTTGTCTTGAGCATTTGGGATCTTGTCTAAAAGATGCATTCTTTACTCCTCAGGATCTTGTCCTTTTTTATGAACTTTATAAAATAACCTGCATTTTTCATTTTCTTTTCTAGTATACGTGGAATACAATCCAGTGACCTGAAAGCTTTGAAGGAAAAGCTTGAGCAGGAGGTAACCTTGAAACTTTTAATTTACTTTTTAAGCATATATAAATGTAAAACCTACTGACTGGGAACTGTTAAAGAATCACAAGTGTGCCAATTCTTAACTAATTGAACTTTCACCTTGAGATTCAAAAGTGGACATAGAATCCTTTTAATGAATTAATCCTTCTTTCTAATGGTTTGTTGCAAAGCAAAGTGTTTTATAGATGATATGCCTATTAGCATCTTTATAGTAATACACACAAGAGACACAAGATTTTATGTTAAGGGGGACGAGCTTCTAAAATTTTAGGAAGAGATGAACTTACAAAATTCTAGGGGACGAAAACAGATTTTCAATAGAAAATACATAAAAAAATCTAAAATATATGGTAATTTTAAATTTTCAGGGGCCGACTGCCCTCCCCCAGTCCATCCCTAGTAATACAACTTAATTTGTCCAAGTTGGGCTGACTCTCACTCCATTTCGTGCTTTCAGGCATCTGAAAATCTTGGAATGGCTATGATTTACACTTTGGTTACATCAGCCAAGGAATGCCTATCTGGAAGATATTGCCAAGATGCTGATGCTGACAATGCTGAAGAAGAAGAGGCAAGAAAAGATGAGGTGTGACTATTTATTTTTGTTTTCAAGAAAAATATAACTTCTACTTTTGAGCATCTTTTAGCTAATTCTAGTTGCATTTCTATATTGCTGCCCATCTGCTAGTTGCATGCAATGCTATGTCTATTGTATAGGTCATCGCGTTATGTATGCGCATATGTCTGTAGATAGTACTCTTAATTCCAATTGGTCAATTCCTGTAAGAATACCCCAGATTATCTAACAAAGCAGCAGTGTGGCCCATATTTCTATTTAGATTTGTTTGACATAGACTTAATGTATCTACTGGTAAACCCAACTAGAACAACATAAAATTGTGCTAAATATGATCACAAATCAGGATACCATTCACGTTTGAGAGCACTGGGTTTTCTCTTAATTGCAGGTATTAGTCTTTGCAAATGGATCTATATCCTCACCATACCTTTTACTTTCAGGTAATTGTTCCACATGGAGAACCTGTTACTGTTGATACATTTTCAGCATGGAGAGAAAGGTTTGAAGCAGAGTTGGCACTAGAGCGAGCCAAGTGAGTATGATAGCTGAATGTTTTCTACATATTTCTGGATTTTCGCAGACACGTTACTTTTTTTTAGGTTTTTGTCCCCAAGCCTGCAAGTTTAGTACTGTTAAACGTATTTTCAGAAAAAAAAAATAGTACTGCTAAACGTGCTAAAATTTTGTACTTGTTATTGTTACTGTCTAAAAGTTTGGCAGCATGGACTTAAATGGTACCTGTCTTCCTTGCTAGTACATGTACTTGATGTTCCCATTAAAGTTTTGTTGTCATCGAGGATAAAATGGAAATAACAGAAATGCAGTTTCTGTTCTTGTTCTACACTTTGAAACACAGTTCACATCATGAAGATCTTCCTTGAGAAAGAAGAAAAAGATCCTGGATATGTTTTTCACATGGGTAAAATATGCTTTATGTGTAATTAAGCACGAAAGCACTTGGATGGGAGGGGTTACTTATAGTCTGCTATGATATTGTCTAAAGCCGCATTACTTGACTTGGGTGTTTGGTGCATGTCTAACATGCATATTTTGCCTTTTTGCTGAGTTTCGCCCTGTATGTGGAGGATCATGCCTCATTACCTCATTCACTTTGAACCTTTAGGTGTCTGATTCTTGTAGTTAAATTACTAATAGAGTCCGCAACATAGCCTGAACTAGAAATAATCCTCAGCTAGTTTCATCTCTTCTGGCAAAGTGCATGGACAATTTTATTGGTTTGTCATGCCTTATGTGTTTTTAAAAGAAAGAAAGAAAAGCTATAAATTCAAAGGATTATATTTTACTGTCATAAATAAACTCTATATGCATCAATTTTCAGGCTAATGCCCGAGTCTGCTCTCACGGCATCCAAAGAGAAGAAGCTCACAGGCAGGCAGTGGTTTGAAAGTGGAAGAGCTAGTGCGGTAATTATATTTTCTATTTTATCCTCTTTATAACATTGTGAAAACATGATATGTATATCATTGTCGCCGTGCATTTCTCCCACAAAAAAGGCACATTATTGTTTCTTTAAATTGGCTAAAAATCTCAAATGATTAGATTGGATTTGGATGGTCCACTTCCAGTTCTTGTACCCATTGGTTGATATTTCTTTCTCTAACATATATTTCCACCGTTTTGAGAATAGAATATAATAACACTATTGTGAAACCACTATTGTTTCTGGGAATGAGCATGGGTTTCAGAACCGGACCGGTTAGCGAACCGGTTAGCGAACCGGTCATGCTATCGGTTCACTGGTTCAACCGGTTGAACCAGTCCAACCGATCGAAAGAACCGGACGACGTCATAATTATTTTAAAAATTAAATAAAAATACCAAAAATATTTAATAAAAAATAATTTTGTATATCACAAGTCATATTCAAAGTAAGTCATAACATATATGAGTTAAAAACCATAAAATCAAGTGAAACAAAATGATTCAAATTAACTACAACATAATATTTAAGGTAAACCATATTAAATAATAAATATAATTATATAACTATAATTAAAAAATAAATTTGGGGCTAAAAAATCATAGCAAAATGATATTGTTTGGTTTAATTTTTTTTAAAAAACAATCTCACATGGGTAAGAAACATAGAAGAACATCCTAAAAGTCTAAAGAGTAAAAATATGAGAACAAAACAATCTCACATGGCTAAGAAACATAGAAGAGCATCCCAACTAACTTCTATAAATAATAGAGGTAATTTGACATTCAAAATCATGGAGCCTTTTGGTGAGCATAGAGTGAACTATTCTTTCACTTCAATCAAGCTCGAATTTTAGGCTTCAATCGAGCTTCTAATTTTTTTTTGAGTTCAAGCCTTTTCGAGTTCAAGTTTCAATATTATATTTCGAGTTCGAGTTGAACTTGATAATTTTTAGTTCGTGAGTTTGAGTTGAGTTGAGCTTACTTTTAAAGTTTGAGTTGAGCTCAGCAATACTCGAGTTTGACTTGGCTCGTTTAACAAACGACGTCGTTTGGTTTAATTTTTTTTTTTAAAAAAAAAAACAAAATTGGCGGTTTTTTTCGGTTTTCAGCCGGTCCGGTTCGAACGGTTCAACGGTTCTGACCGGTTCACTAGTAGCGGTTCAACCGGTTTAGTTTGAACCGGACTAGACAACGGTTCTCGGTTGAACTGGCCGGTCCGGTCCGGTTTTCAAAACAATGGGAATGAGTCATATCTTTCCCCTAAGTGGAATCTGAGATTAAATTATGCAAAAAAGGGAAAGACTATGAGACTCAAAAAATTCATGTTAGTAAGAAAATATATAATATATATGCAAGATTAGAAGTCTATTTATTTCATACTAAGATTTAACCGGATGAATGGTGAAAAGCAATCATGACTCTTTGACTTTCTTTACCGCAGAAAGGTGCAGCTGCCATCAAAGAAGAATATGATGAGGAAGAGGAGGAAGACATTGATTTGGATGATGATGATTTCGAAGGTGAGTCCCTCCCTTGGCAGAACAGACTATTTATTACTTGATTGTGCCATGAACATTCTGTTTATTGATGCTTTCATAATCATGATATTTTTTAGTAAAACAGAAGCTAGAAGTGTAAGCACATTAGATGAAAGAAACTATCTGATCACTTTGGTTTACTGCAGACGATGAAGAAGACATGCTTGAGCACTATCTGGCTGAGAAGTCAGATTCAACCTCTCTCTCTTCAAAGAGAACTGCCTAAGAGAAAAAAAGCTTCTCCTGATTGAAAATTCAATACTTTGATGGAGCTTTTCCTGGCACTGGAGTTTTGCGCATCTCCCAGTTTATATTTACCTTGTATTTTGACCTGCTTTTTTTGTCTTTGAGGCTTGATTGTAAGTGGGAGCCTTGGTTTCATGATTAGAAACTTGCGCTCTCATTTACAGTTTACTTATAGTAGCAAGGATATGTTGCATATGTCTAAAGCTTCACCTCTAATGTAAATTTTACCCAATTTTGCTTTATATCTAAAGATCGAAATGTCTCGTTAGTTTTCATGAACTTATTAATGTTTACCAAGAGAAGTGTTAGGGAAAAGCATCCATGTACATATGTCAAAGGACACTGCTAATGTTATGTATCAGAGACTAGTATGGTTCTTAAACCCGGAGACGTCTACGGACGAACCACGACACTAGAGTAATCACATTAAACATATGTTTTCACTCGGTGCATTACGAGAGTAACAACTATGAAAGAAAAGAGTGCATGATCAATCACAACATTTTCATGAAAACCAGTTTTCATTGCAGGGACAATTTCGGCTGCAACTCTAACTTCTCAAATCCCACACTATAAAACCCAACCACATTTTCTGGTTTACATGATTTGGTTCCCACTTGCGAAATATAGCTATCTGAATGTATAATTCTTACCCTTTTTAATGCTAAAAAAATGAAAATGTTATCAGATTCATTGTCGATTTTCTTAACCTGCTCGATCTTTTGGGCAACACAATGGCCAACCATGGAAGCAGCTGGTGGAAGTTCATTATATTATGAACCAGATCCCTTCACATGCAAACGTTATTCATACTTCCCTGATGCAATGGTGTCGCCGGCTTCTCTGCCTCGGTTTCCATTCTTTCCTCTTACCAACGGATCTCCACCTGTTGCAATGCCCTCCACTCATGCTGCCGAGTCTAATGAACTTGTGTCATGCGAGTCACAGTTGTACTACATTGAAGCTTGTTTTCAAGACATTGTCAATGTGTTCTTAACTAACAAGCTGGAAATTGGACCGGCGTGTTGCAAATCAGTAACTGCGATCACCCAAGGTTGCTTGAATTGCTTAATTCCACCATTCATTATTGACTTGTTCAGTCCTTACATCGGCCAACTTTGTTGTGCTACTCCGCCGCTATCATTATTTTCTTGAAGAGTTTTTATCAGGAGGGTCAAACGTGCATTTATTTGTGTACCTTTTAAAGATTTGAATAAAGTTTGTTTCGTCCAACGCACTCATGGTGCCATACAAAGAGAGAATTAGGGTTACCAAGCAACCTCCTTTTTTCTGAAAGAGGAAAGCATTAAGATTAAAAATGGCGTTATGAGATTTCTTAAAATGGAAACAGATTGAGTTGGATAGTGTCTCAGTAATTTGATTCCTGCATATCATTAAGACGCCATTTACACCACTTGATTTAAACAATTCAATTGTCATAAAAAAAACAAGGGGAAAAGGATGAAAAGAATTGATCAAAATAATAGGAACAAATAATATATTTTACTTCCTATTGATGTTTGTTGTTGAAGCGTGTACTCGCCCTCACATACTCAATGTTAGAGTGTTAAAGACGGATACTTTAAGAAACAAAAATAAATTGGATTGATAAGATTATTTTTATAATGAATTTATGTCATATTCAATTTAGATTAATCAATTACTGTTTGATGATTAATCTAAAAAGAATAAAAGAAATCTGAAAGTACAATGGAAGTGGAACTCCCAACTCGAATTCACCAGTATCACACTCCACATGACTTTTGCAATTTAAATTCTCCCATTACTATAATTGAGATTGAGTTGATCTATTATACTATCTAAATTCACTGAAAAAACGATAGTGCTAGCAAACTGAATTGATTGGATTACAGATAAGATGATGGTAAGGCTTTAGGTATATAGGTTAGATAGCCTATATTACAAGTATTATATTCTATTACTGTGTCTAAGAAAGTTTTGAAACTATAAATAACATTGCTAATTTCTCAAGTTTCCAACTGTATAGAGTGTAGAATCTAATGAAACTATAATTCAGGTTTGAGTTTCAAATAAATCAAAACGAGAAATATACAGCAAAATTTAGTTCCCATGATTCATAAATAACAAAGTTTAGTTTATGAAATGTTCAACCAGAATTGAATGAATACGAAATTATAGTTCTCAAACACAAGTTTAAATACCATTCCTCTCCAACACTAGATATCTCAGAAATTAATCCGAATTAAGTTATAACATTTACAATTGTAAGAGAATAATGGCTTCAGAGAAGACTAGAGAGAAAAGGAACCCTAAGAATTGGACTAACATGCCTTTCATTATTGGTACATCATATTCATATTCATATTCAAATGCATATGCATATTATTGATTTTTTCTTTTTATATTACATCTTCTTTAACATTTGCATCAAATTTAAATTCATGGACTTGGGTGCTAATGGCTTTAAAATATTGATATTTGAATGTTCCTACTAGAGCAAATGAGAAAGTGCCTAGCTATGCCTTGGCGCCAACAATGACGCTTTACTTGAAGAGTAACTATCACATGAGTACTGCCGGGGGCCAAAAATCTTTTCAACCTTTGGCAAGCTTTCAACAAATTTGCACCTATTTTGGGTGCTTTATTCGCTGATTCTTGTATGGGTCGTATCGCTACCATTGGCTTGGGTTCGACTGCCAGTTTCCTGGTAATTAATTACCTCTTTCTTATGTTTTCTATAATAGTTGTTAATTATAATGTTATGCTTAACTGACCTTATGTTTCAGGGAGTTTCAAATTTATGGTTAACAACCGTTATACTTTTACCACAGGCAAGCCCTCCTCCTTGTAACCCTTGCTGCAAATCCGCCACAGCAGGCCACGTGGCTATCCTGATCTCTGCCTTGTTTTTCAAGTCTATCAGAGCCGGAGACATTAGGCCTTGTTCTATGCCATTCGGTGCCGATCAATTGACCAACAAGAATGAAAAGATCCTGGAGAGCTATTTCAGCTGCAGCATCCCTCTGTGGCTCCTTTGGTCTGACTGTTGTTGTTTATATTATACAAGTCTATGTATGGAATATCGGATATGGTACTTGTGCATTCCTGATGTTGTTGTCCACTCTGGCGTTTTACATTGCTTCACCCTTCTATATTAAGCAGAAAGCCAGCACCAGCATCTTTACGGGTTTCGCACAAGTTCTTTTGGTTTCATATAAGAAAAGAAGCCTCCCGTTTCCGACTCTAAATTCTGGTTACCATCACGAAAAGGAGTCGAGTTTACCGTTCCAAGTGACAGTTTAAAGTTTATGAACAAAGCTTGCATTATTGTAAACGCTGAAGAGGAGATAGGCTCCGATGGATTGGACTTAAACCCGTGGAATATTTGCACAGTTCAGAAACTCGAAGAGTTTAAAGCGCTTTTAAAAGTGATCCCATTATGGTCTACGGGGATCGTAATCGCAATCGCTGGAAACCAATACTCGTTCCCCATGCTCCAAGCTAGTACCATGAACCGACACCTTTTCGGCGGCTTCCATATGCTGGCAGCCTCATTAACCGTCATCGTTTACATCACTTCCGTGCTTTACTAGCGTGTGATAATCTCAATAGCATCAAAGATCAAGGGAAAACAGGAAATTATCAGTGTCAACACTAGGATGGGAGTCGGTTTATTCCTCCCTGTAATAGCCATGGGACTCTCGGCAATTGTTGAGAACATCAGATTAAGTAAAGTAATAATCGTGGGGCATGCCAAAATGACTAATGCACCGGTAAATATGTCAATGTTGCGGCTTCTCCCACAGTTTATCGTTCGGCGTTGAATACACTCGGACAGTTTGAGTTTTAAATCGGGAGTACCCGAAAACCATGTCAAGCATCGGTAACTCATCATTCTTACTGTCAATGGCGGTGGCAAATTTATTGAGCCCTGCTCTGTTTAACATTGTAAACGACGCTACTTCTAGAAACGCCAATTTTACCCCAAAAACAAAAGTAACCCTAACAGTTAAATATTATGTGTCCGACATCTTTTTTTTCCAAATATTATCGATTTAGTACATTTTTTGACAAAGAGTGTATCATTAGACGGCTTTAGCAGGATTTTATCCGAGTTGACGCCACGGTGAAAAAGCGCAGATCATAATCCACACAATTAATCCGCACCATCGTGGAGTTCTATCCAAGTTAACGTCACGGTGGTAAAGCACGAATCATGAAGCGCACCTTCGCTTTCCCAATCATCCCGCCTTAAATATCGTCCACCACCGTCCCCTCCTATAAATACTCCCTCATCCAACACTCGTACCACACAAAAAACACTCTATTTCTTCCTTCTATATATCGTTCTATCAAGTTTTAAGTAATTATAGTTATCGTTTTTAGAAGCTAATTTTTTTATTGTATTATAATCATTTAATAGTTTATTATTTTTATTATATTTTATTTTATTAAATTTTTTATTACTTTTTACAGTTATAAAATAGCAGGCTGGTTGTTGCTTTTAGATGAGAATCATATATCGAGTCATTTTACCGATATGGTAATAATTTTAAATTTTGTTATTTTATTTATTGTGAATGTTTCATTCATTTATTTTTTAGTATTAGTTTATTATTTAATTAGGTAAATGACTATATATTAGATCTATTTATTCGTAACGCTAAATTAGAGATACCGAGTCGTGTCTAGCCGTATTTAGCTGAGACTAGATTCAGTTACATGGCGAAATATGAATGGCATTGTAACCTTGAATCCAATCTTATTTTTTCACTGATTGAGAGGTGGAGACCAGAGACACACATTCCATCTTTCGTGTGATGAGAGCACTATTATGCTGGAGGATGTTTCCTTATATTTGGGGCTTCTGGTAGATGAGGATGTTATTTCTAGTGTGGCGGATGATGATTGACATTCCTTGTGCGAGGAGTATCTTAGAGGTATCTTGCCTAATTTCAACGGTGGTCGAATATCGTTATTATGGTTGGCTAGAAATTTTCGACGGTTGAGCGACGATTGTTCCCAGGAACAAGCTCAAATATTTGCTCGGACTTGCATATTGCAACTCATATGAGTGATCTTGATGCCCGATAAATATCGCAACCAAGTTCATTGTATGTGGTTGCGTCATTTCACAGATTTTTGAGTTATCGACTCATTCAGTTGGGGCTCCACGGTTTTGGCATCTTTGTATAGAGAAATGTGTCGAGCAACTGATTATCCAAAAAATGCTATCGGCTGATTTCTTATTCTTCTACAATCATGGGTGTGGTATCGCATGTCTTTTTTATGTCCGGTCGTGAAAAACCCGTTAGTTTTTCCGTTATTGTTGAGGTAATTTCAATACTAAGTTTGTATATAAATAATTTTTTTGAGTATATAATGATTTTTTTGCACTGAATTTGTGTTCATCTATAAGGAAATATCATTGTGATATACTAGACGAATTTGAAGAAATTCGTCTAGCCGTATTTAGCTAAGATTAGATTCGGTTACATAGTGAAATATGAAAGACACTGTAACTTTGAATCCAACCTTATTTTTGCACTGATTGAGAGGTGGAGACCAGAGACACACACATTTCATCTTCCGCGTGGAGAGTGCAATATTATGTTGGAGGATGTTTTCTTACATTTGGGGCTTCGGTAGATGAGGATGCTATTTCTAGTGTGACAGATATGATTGTCATTCTTTGTGCGAGTACATTAGAAATATCTCACCTAATTTCAAAGGTGGTCGAATATCGTTATCATGGTTGGCTAGAAATTTTCGACGGTTGAGCGACGACTGTTCCCAGGAATATGCTCAAATATTTGCTCGGGCTTGCATATTGCAACTCATAGGAGGGATTTTGATGCCAAATAAATCTCGCAACCAAGTTCATTATATGTGGTTGTGTCATCTCACAGATTTTTTGAGTTGTCGGCTTATTCAGTTGGGGTTCTACGGTTTTGGCATCTTTTTATAGAGAAATGTGTCGAGCAACTGATTATTGAAAACATGCTATCGGCTGATGTCTCATTCTTCTGCAATCATGGGTGTGGTATCGCATGTCCTTTTTATGTCCGGTCGTGAAAAACCCATTAGTCTTCCCGTTATTGTTGAGGTAATTTCAGTACTAAGGTTGTATATAAATAATTTTTTGAGTATATAATGATTTTTTTTACACTGAATATGTGGTCATCTATAAGGAACTATCACCGAGATATACCGGACGAATTGGAAGAAATTCGATTGCTCATTGATCAAAAAGCTAGTACATAGGTATATATTTAAAGTTTATTATTTACCTTTAATTATCGTTATATAATTAGAATATTATTTTGATAAGAATTATATATGTTTGTTTTTAGTTTCAATTGACTCCTTATTCTACTGAAAAAATGAGGCGTTGCATCCCACCTCACTTGAGTGGACTATTAGATGTATGGATGGCGGTGATCCCTCTAATATGTTATGCTAATGTCGAGTGGCATTATATTTATCGTGTGTTCCGCCAATTTGGTTTCGTACAATCTATTCCTGAAGCACCTAGGAATGTTGACAATATACATAACATCGATAGACGAGGCAAAAAAGAAGTCAACTGGTTGATGAAGCACAACAAGTGGGTAATAATATGGGAGGATTGATGTGGACGCATTCCCCGTCGGGAGCCGATTTATGTAGATCATTTTTCGGTTGCAAATGACTATTATCAGTGGTTCAACACGAACGAGAATTTGTTCCTACTTTTCGAGGAAACACAAGGCGGGAGCATTCGTCGACATCGGAAAAAACGTCCATCGTTACAACACCATCATTTCCCGACTCGTGTACAGAGAGAATGCGCTTCTGGCTTGTCCTCAGTTGCAGCACCAGAACCATCACAGCAGCCACCAGTTTATATTTCGCAGTTGTTTCAGATGCCACCACATTCATTTCAGATGCCACCACCGTAGGGTTTAATGTCACCTCTTGGTGGATATACTCTCATGCTTATAGATCCAGTGTGGTATTCATATGCTTCTTACTTGACGAGTGATGCTTCACTAGAGACATAAACACCTCCGGCTTAGTTTTCGCATTCATCGGTGATGATGTTTTCACAGTTTTCAAAGTTTTCTATGAGCGGTAGGATGGTTAGTCATACACTTCCAATGTCCTTATTCTATAGATGTGCTACATCGTCATTCGTCCCTTGTCAACAAAATCTATCTGTTATTGCTACTGTTGTTGATGATGATGATGAGAGTGAGGAGTAATAGCAACTTACGAAGAAATCCCCATCAAAATAGACAATCACTGCCCTGTGAAACATATTCAAGACGCATACATCGATAGACTTGTTTTTATTTATTTTGTTTCTTAATGTTTTTATTATTTAATTATGAACTTTTTATTTATTTTGTTTCTTAATATTTTTTATTATTTAACTGTTTGAATGGTAACATTTGTGTTTAATGTTTTTATTTAATTGTTTTTTTTATTATTTTTATTATTTAGTTTGTAATGTTTTTATTTAATTTTCACTTGAGTAGCACATTAATTAAAAGTAAATGAAAATGAAATAACATAAACTGAGGTTTCATAAACAACAATTATATCGTGGGAGCATAATGACATACCTAGTGCAGTTGAGTCAACCCATGGTATGAGCATAATGACATACCACGAACCGCAGACACTTCAACAAATGTGGCATACATTTGTGTATCAATGTTTGAATTTTGATTCTGAGCATCAACCATCATAACAACATCGTCATCATTTGATAGTTCGAACGCTATATAAGTTAACAGAAATAATACAATTGGAAATCTGTACTGAAGCGATGACAGTCTTCTAGTACTTCCAAAATGAATATTCCTTGAAAATTTAGTGATCAGCTCCTCAAGGGTGATGTTTCTCTTGAAAGATATTCCGACTGAATGATTTGATGCGAATACAACGCTGTTTCATCTTCCAAAAATTCTCCATTATAGTAAAAAATAGCTTAAATACGCCTCATTTTGAGAGTTTGAAAGATTAAGAGTTGTATATCTGCAAAAATAATAGTTGAAATACACATAATTAAATAATAGTATACGAATTAAAATATAAACTAATGCTTAAAAAATAAAAAAAAAATCACAATAATTTAAATAACATAATTTAATATTGTTACTGTATCAGAAAAATGTTTTGAGATATGATCCCGCCTTCCATTTTACAATCGTAAAAAATAATACAAAATAATTAGTACAATAAAATTTGGTCAAATAATTAAATAAAAATAAAAAAATAAATTTATCTTCTAAAAACTATAACAAAATCTGCTTGGCTTGATAGAAGAAAAAATGTGAAAGTAATTTTGGTGTGGTTTGATGTTTGCATTCGGAGGTATTTATAGGGGAGAGAGATAGGTGAATAACCAAGAGAGTTAAAGCTCAGGTAATAATGAAGTGCACAATAATTTAAAGTGAATAATGGAATGCGCGTCTCATGATCCACACCTTCCCTGGACGTGTTAAATCTCCCAACGAATGCGCGCTTGATGATCTAAGTCTTTGTTACATGGCGTCAGCTCGAACAGAATCCCGTGAAGGCGCGTTTCATGATCCGTGTTTTTCTACCGTGGCGCCGTCTCGGAAAAAACTCTGCGAAGACGCGTTTCGTGATCCGCATTTTGTCAGAAAAGATACTAGATCGGTAATATTTAGAGAAAGATTGTCTGACATGTAATATTTCGTTGTGAGGGTGTTATTTGGGTTAAATTGCCTCGAGAAACGGGAAACCCAGCTGGGTTCGACTATTATTTTTTGATTCTTGCAGGGTTGAGTCTTGTCAATGTGTTATATTACATCGTTTGTATAAGGTCCTATGGATCTACCACAGAGGTTGCCGATGAAGGCTATATTTCAGAGGAGGGATGAACGTGAAAGAAACTAACTAGAATCGGAGATGAAGGATCTAGGAAATTAAAGAGTTTTCTTGCATCTCAATCCATCTTCAATAATGTTATTGTAATTGTTTTCTTTTCCGGAATGATTACAAAATTTTGTGGTGAAAATGTTGCGGGTTGAGTCAGTGAACTGAATTCACTTGGTTCAACGCTTCATTTTCTTGTATATGAGTAGCGAGAAACGATGGAAGAACAAAATTAAAGGACTTGTTGAGTAAAAATCATTTAAAACGTTATACACACCCAATTTAAACATTGTAAATTTACTTTTGAATTTTAAAAACAAAAGTTAACCACTGCACTTTCAAAAGTCGAGCAATGGTTAAGAATCCTTCTCTTTTCTTTTTCAATAATTTGTATACATAACGAAAGAAATTGTTGGTAGCAAGCAAAAGATTAAACAAAGCTGTCAAAAAAATCTAGAACAAAATTGGTGGCCGAAAGCCAAAATTATACACACCCAACCTATTTGTACATCACACCTTCAATCCTTCAAGGACCATGGGCCCCATTCCAATCACCTTGAACGACCAACTATAACCATTTACAAGAAGAGCTCCATTCTTCAAGAGGCAAAGCAACACATCACTGTTTGTTTGAATGTCTACCTGAAAGGCGATGGAGAAAGGTCTAAGCCGATTGCAGCTCAGGTATGAAAATAGAGGATACAATCTGTTACATGACAGGTTTCGAATAATCCAATATCAATCCGTTGACTGTGACTCGGCATACTCTGTGAGCCTCTGCTTAAGGTTCTGGAATTAGGAAGAAACACTCGAGTTAACAATCACAACGGAAAGAGAAGAAAAGAGATAAAATGACAGCACTTGCAATGACCTTCAGTTCTTGATGAAGCACAACAAATATTTTCTTCAGTCTCTTATATCTCTGCCAATCAAAACAGCACTTGATCAGAACATAAACCCTACTGAAAATATTTCATTTTTTAAAGTAAAATATGGGACACCAGGGACATTTCGGAACAGATACAGATCTTCAACATCCTTTCATTTTCTAAATAAACGAAAGCACTGTGATTCTTACAAGCCACAAAGCACCAGACACTGTAATGAGACCCACCACAATAGTTTATTATTACCCAATTATCATCATGTGCAATCTTCTAAACAGATCACATAATGAAGTAATTTTGCAGCTAGCAAATGATCTTATCCCTCAGTCTGTTCTTTTCAACTCTAAACACCTCCTTAAATAAGAAAACTGTTTCCTGCTATTTATCATCTTCTTACTAATTAAATGGCAAAAGGAGATTACACTCATATTGCAAGATCTTGATTTTACATCCGCATCGATAAGTAACTTGATAATAATATGAAGTTCAATATATCAGGCAGTAGTGAAACAAAATCTTTCAAGAGGATTCCACGTCTTAAAACATACCATCATCAAAACAAAAAAGATAAGAAAATAGAGAGAAAATATCTACCATTCCACATTGGTGGTAAGACTCCATCAATTGGTCCAAGGTCTTGTAATATTTCTCCTTGTCCCTACCTTTTGAATATTCAAGGTCCTTACCCAGCTTTTCAAATTCATTCCTATATCAAGAGGTTAGTTTGTCGAACAAGTCAACACAGTACAAAGTCCACAAAACATCATAAATGAACGAAAAAACTGTGAAGTTTGAACAATACCTGTAGGTTTGTAGGACCCTGTCCAAGTCCTTGTAAGATTCATATTTTTCACGAAATTCATTCACATACTCTTCATACCTAGCATCAGAATAAATAAAAATAGTTTGAATTAGATGGCTCAGTCCTGTAACATTCAACACAATTACACAACCACCACATTCTAAATTTAACAGATACATCTACACAACCAAAACTACTTACTCAGATGAATCCTTAATCGGTCCTCTGTGCTGTTGCTCATCTTTTTCATACTTAAAATAAAGCAAATAATCTTCATCTGAAGAACCTCTTTTCTTTCGACCATTTACATTACCCTCTTTCAGAACCACATCCTTGCGCATATCAGTCGTATCCAGCATTTTCTTTGTTGCTGGTATTTTACTTTCATTCATGAACTGGGACGCTGGTCCTCGTTTAGATTCCTTCTGTTGCAGGGCACTAGCTGGTGCTTTCTTATGGCTTTCACTGTAATCCTCCAGGCCAACTCCCAGTTTTGCACCAGTGTCTATTTTCTTGGTTTTACCATCATCAGCCAATCTGTTAAACTGGGACCCAACTTCTGGACAGTCAAATCTTGAGAGCTGCTGCTGCTGCTGAGACTGAACAACCCTATGATGCGATCTAGATAAATCTTCAACAAGGTGTTCTGGTGTTCTTTTAAGCCCACTTCGAGTAGGTGAAGATGATTTTCCTGAATCCCAATTTGCCTTCCCAAAAGGTTTTCCCTTGCTTAGATCAGGATTAGAGTTATCTGAGGTGCTTGGTCTACCGCCTGACTGTTTAACAGAAGCTTTACTTTCAAATTGCTTCTTTGTAGGAGTTTCCTCAATCAACGGCTCACGAATCTCACCTAACTCCAAGTGCGAAAGCTCTCGTTGGAGAACGTTGCTTTTGCCATTAGCTAGATAACTATCTTCACTCACCCTGCTGTTATCCTTCGGAGAAGAATTAATATAGGAGCCAGAAATTTGTACAGAGTCCTTGGACTTTCCAACAGTTTCACCATGTTTTCTGTGCTGGAAATCAGAAGGCACAGCATCTTTACCTCGAGCACCACCTTTAGGATTTGTCAGTGAACTTTTTTCATTCATTAAACCATCCTCATTTTGGGTGTCCCTATAAGGGTTATCTTTTTTAATCACATAACCTCCATGCACATTTTTCCTAGTGAACTTATTATCAGGTCCTGAACTCTCAGCATGTTTCAAAGGCCTTTCAGCTGTACTAACAGCTTTAGTCCGAACACCTGGATCAGACAACTTACGACCTGATTGATGAAAATCTGTACTAGATTTCCTGGGAAACGCCTGATTGTATCCCTTTTGAGAGTCGGCATATTCCTTGTCACCTTTATTTTCTCTTTGGTAAGGCTCCTCTATGGGTCAACTACTACCAAAGAACTCTGCATCTCTACTCCCAGAAACAGGTGGCTGAGACATGCTTTCAGACTTCAATCTTTTAGAACACTCTGACTTCTCATAAATGTGCTTCGAATCAGATCCCCTTTTAGATTTACCTTTTCTCTTCACCGAGTAATCAGATTGTTCATTCCCAATGCTATCTAACCATGTTTTCTGTATCATCAAACAAATTCCCTATGACGTTTTGATGCTCCTGGAATTCATCATGATCAGATGACGAGGGTTTTATTCCTTCCTCATGTTTCTCACATTCTTTGTTTGTGCTGGCAGCCATTCCAATTTCCTGTTCATCTTCAGGCAAGTCTTGTTCAATGTCAACAGCATCCGATCCATTGCCTTCAATATCAATTGCATCAGATCCATCATCATCTTGATTTTCATCCATTCCGTTCAGCAGAGAACTGTCATGTCCAGCCTGCCATGGTACAGGTGAAGTCAGAAGTCCTGGTTCAGATGTCGGTATACCCTGTTTTGTCTCTTTCTCATCATCACTCGTCATTATATCTACATCCTCATCAGACCCTTCCTTGCTGTTGGAAGAAGCATCACTTTCACTATCACTGCTACTACTGCTCCCACTTGCTGCCGGGCTTGCACTCCTGCTTTTACTCCTGCTGTGGCTCCCACCGTCACTGCTGTCACTGTCACTATCACTGCCACTGTCAGTAGCACTATTCACTGGCCCCTCACTATTGTCAGAAACTTTTCTCTCACCAACCAAATCAGGTGAATGTTGTTGCATGTCAATTTGTTCCAATGCATTCGATTCTTCTGTAAGTTTTGGGTATAAATCGGTATGTTCCTCTGTTTCATCGTGACTAACTTTCTCCACTGATAATGATGCTGGAACCGATGTCTGATCTTGGTTTTCTTCAGGAGCTGTAGCCTCATTAGGATTATCTTCAAGCGAACTGCAAAATATAGACAAACAAGATGAAGGCTGCGTATAGTGCAATACATAATATGTAGATAAGCTTTTATATAAGAGACTAAAAACAAAGAATGACCAGGGTTTTTGATACTTAGAAGTAACACTAAGCAATTTTTAGTGTACTCATCTTTACTTATAACTATGCAAGATGATCATTAAACAGAAACTAAAAAGAACATTTAGTTCCAAAATTATCAAGCAAAAGATTTATGGAATGATATTCCAAAAAATGTTTATGGCATGATGAGATCCTACTAGATTACATCTATCTATATATAGAGTAATTTTCGTATTGAAATCTTGTGCCGAGTCATATGATGAGAACATCAAATCATGAAATATAGAGATGAAAAAAATGACAAGAATTCAATTCAATTACAACTGTTCAAATCAACCCTGCTGGATAAAAAATCCAGCTATATGTACACCTATGTTTCAGTCTTTGGTGAAAGATATTGCTTCCCTAGTGGATAGTAGAGATATTATTATTAGGCATATTTTGAGAGCTGCTAATTGTGAATCAGATAAATTAGCTAAAGAAGGAATAGGTTGATTTATAGGTTGTGTGTTTAGGTTGTTCTATTTCTGAGTTGGTTGTATTAGTGTAGTTAGTTTTGTTTTTAAGTGTTATGTTGTACAGAAGTTTGTAAGGATCTGGCTTTGTTTTATTCTTATATTAATAAAGTCTTAGGCACTCTTTTCCTCCTTACAATGTCTTTCAAGTTACTGTTGTAACATGGAGGTTATGAAGGGGGATTTTAATGAGGCATTCTCTATTTCTATAAAAAAAATCAACCCCGTTGGAAATGAAAAAGACAGGTACCTTCCACTTTTAGATAATGCTTTCTTCAAGCTTTCCAACCCCACTCCTGGTTTCAAGAAATATCTTCCTGGAACGTGGAAAGTTGCAAACTAATGAACAAAATTAAAGGAAGACTTAAGCTTACATGTCATGCTTAAAAAATACTTTGCATCAAGAATCCATCGCTTACTTTTTTTAAAATGGGTTCAATCTTTAGTGCAGAGTTTGGAATTGTATCACCAACAGCTTTCTCCAAGGCCTGTCACCATTTCAGAAGTGAGAGAGGCTAAGATATTAAATGACCCAAAAAATAAAGTAACAGCCAACCACATGCCATAATAGCAAAAGAAGGGCAGTTAATTTAAAACATTCAGTCAACCCTAGCCCTTGCCTTTAAGCTCATCCCCTTGGGGTTTTCCTTCAGTAGACTGATCAGAAGACTCTGCAATTCTGTTGGCTTAGGTCCTCCACTGAGCTCTTGCATTTCACATACTACATTAGTAGCCCTGGTTAGTATTTCTTTCTCAGAGCTGGAAGAAATATTTTCTTTGCTTTTAACGTGGGGAAGAATAACATTCTCACTGCTTGCACGAATCTTGGTGGCACTTGCAATTCCAATTGGAGATGATGCAGCACCAGAGCGCTCAGGTGGAGATGGTAAAGGTGAAGATGAGTGTCTTCCCTTTGCAGTAGCAGCCGAAATTAAACCAGGTTTGTAGCCAGACTTTGGAGGGCCTCCAACTGCAGCTGGTGCATACATACATTGTCATAACGCTTGTCAACAAACGTAAGCAGAAGAGAAAGAATGCCAAACTGCAACTAATCAAAGTATAATCTCAATACCTCACACAGATTATTAATTTTGGAGAGACCATGCAAAAGAAACAAAATATAGAAAAAGGTAATTTTCATATTTAATTATTTAAATGAAATCCAAATTATTTACCTTGAGGTGAGTCAACTCTACCCTTCTTAGAAGCAATCTCCTTTTTAAAATTAGACTTCCATGGACTAGCTGCAAACACGAGACAAAAGACAGAACATTCATGCTTTAAAAATTGACATCTTTTAATCTTAAATGTTCTCTGCCAACAATTACTTTCAGTGAAAACATTTTCGATGGGAATTTTGATCTATTATCTATTAGTAGGTATTGTGCAAGCAAGTCCTGTTCCCCTAAAGTGAGTGAGGCCCAAGGGATAAAAATACACGTAAGAATAATCCTCTTTACTAAGGGATTTCATGATTGAAGAAGCAACTTTAAGATATCATCTCGATAAAATGGGCATCATATGAGTAGGAACACAAAAAGAAAAAGCTAAATCTATATTTTGGTACCTGAATTTGGTAATTGAACTTTTTTTTTTTGCTCCAATTAGGTACTTGAATTTGGATTCTGTTATACAGATTACCTAAAATATAGCACCATTAAAATTTTTAAGGGTTAAGGTTCAAATTGGTACCTAAACTTGGCTTCTTGGATCAAATTAGATAAAATACCATAAGTACCTATTTAAACCACAAAACCAAGGTCATGTACCAAATTGAACCTTAATCCTTAAAATTTTTAATGGAGTCACAATTTGGGATAACTTGTATAACACAATCCAAGTTCAAATACCTAATTGGACCAAATCAGGTGCCAAATTGAACTTTGAAGCCAAGTTCAAGTACCAAAATGTATATTTACCCAAAAGAAAATCATGTGAATATACATTCTAAGATATGAAAGGGAAGAGATTTGAAATAGCAAGTCCAGGCATACCTTTGTTGTGATGCTTATTACATTGAATCTAATTGCTGTCAGAAAAGACAAAAATAGACAGTGTATGGAGGAAGAGAGGGGGATGGGGTGCAAACACAATATCACAAAGAAAAACTTACCCTCAACAGCAACTAATTGCTTGATTTGATTCTTCATAGATGGATTTCCATGGTCTAATATAATGGCTCTATATCAACACCAAAAAGGAAAAGATGAAAACAATAAAATTAGCCCTATTAGAAAAGTGATTAACAACATAAAAGTGTAGCATCAAATCTTTACAACAAAATCAATAAAAAGAACCACATAAAGATAAATTGAAAGGCCATCATTTCTTCTTCACTTCATGAAACATAATCGAGAAGAATCCAAATTTCTAGTACAAACTAGGAAGTCGCAAAATTCAATATAACAAAGAATTTCTTATTAGAAGGGTTTCTAATGTTGTTTGACTTTTCTCTGTAATAAGGAGCGTTATGCACATCTTTCTGACTGTTCTTTTTCAGCTAGTGTCCATTCTGAATCTTAAAGAAGTACCTAAAACATCAGAAATATAGTAAAAGAAATAAAGGTGAAACTTTAGCAATTCTGATTTCAAAGTAAGCAACGTGAGAAGATTATATATGCAACTATCATGAAAATAACCGGGTATGACAGAACAATAGTTTACAAGGTGATTTCAAAGATCCGATGGCTGTTTGTACCAAACTTAATGATATTGATTTGAAACTGATATTTGGATAAAGGCTTATTATTTGTATAACTGAAACATGGAAGGCAAGCTTCAACATGAGAAACATCGAATGCAATTGAAGGTCTCAAAGATTAAGAAGATAGAGGAGTTCTGAAGAATTCTCAAGATAATGTGGTGCTTGCTTCTCCAGGAATTGGCTTGACTACATCACTCCACTGCATTCATTATAAAACATAAAAGAAGGGCCTCGTAGTTTAAATTTATGCAAACCAATACTGTTGCTTCAGTAGATTATTAAATTTCAGCCAAACTTCATTAATAAAAATGGGATGCAGAGAAATTAATGTGCAGAATCATCTACTAATATCATGCCAAGAGGTGTCATTTTACATATTGGGTAATATCAACATCATGCTATACGCTAAGAGAACATCTACTTTCATAATCAATCATGCTGAAATATGTATCTGGATTTGAATCATCTTAAGTGTACATAAACAACTAGGTAAATTAGAGAAAGGGGAAACAAATATGCTTGCTTAGGCAGACAATGAATATGAGAAAACCACCCGAATAACATACTTGCGTGATTTATGCATGCGTTCAGCTTCCTCTGACCGCATCTTAACTTGATTCGTGGTTGATTCATCCAAGACACGTTGAACATTCAATTTGCGCCATGCACCCCCAAATTCAACAAGCAAATCATTTTCATCTTCTCCCATTTGACGTTTTTCATATATATCACACAGAGCACCAAGTTCTCGTGACCACGTAAACTTAAACTCCTTACCGCCAACATCAATAACCTACCATCAATTAAACACATGTATTTATTAATTAACAGGCCATACAAAAATATAGTTTAACCAAAAAAGAACTGAACACCGAAAAGGAACTTGCAACTTCCGTCTCCAAAAATCTCAACAAATAATGGGAACAATCATTAGTTCAGAATAAGAATAGAACATCAAATCAAGATTTTAGTGTAGCAACATTTCAGGAAAAAAAGTACAAAACTTTCAGGCCCTAAACCGATTTTCTGTAGTTCAAGTCATTAACTATCATACCAAGGATAGAAAATCAAATCAAGATTCTTAGCATAACATCTAAAAGAAAATTAACAAAACTCTGAGGCTTTAACCAATTTTCTCTAGTCCAACTAATTAACCATCTATCATCCCATAAAGGTCATTAATCAATCATGAGAATTTTCTGCATAATTTTAAAACTACCCAAAACAAGTAGAAACCACTGATGCAGTCCATAAAAATAGAGTGGCAAAGGTACCGCAGAAAACATAATGCTTTAAAATCAAATTTAATCCATGCTACACTAAATCCTTATGCTAATGATATGCAGGATTTATTTACAATAAAACTGACCATGTAAATAATACAACCTTCTGTTTATACACAAGAAACACCAACATTGGCAGATAGAGATAGTCCCATCATTTTAAACAAGTTGGCCGGGTTAGATTGCTCTTTTTTGCAAATGCATATTTTTAGAGGTTTCTGCATTGAACTTCCATGTTCTATAAATGCTCCTACCTAAAGTGAACCCTATTACATCTTGTGCAAAAATACTTGAAAATCAATATCGTATTCCAAGTAAGAACCAACAATTTAATAAATGCAAGCTAAAAAGCCATATACTAAAAATTAACCAACAATAAAAGTATATTAAGATTGAATATATACACATTTGAGGAAAAAATATCATGGCACACTTGACTCAAGACATTGTAGGGATTACGCAAACCAAATAGATCCAACTCCCCATTAGCCTACTAGAAGTCCAGAATCAAGAAAAAATTACTACATACTCAGCGATAAAAGAACAAGCAAACTCAGCATAATCATACAATCTACCTAAAAATCTTCCAACAAACCAAAAAAATGTATCTATATAAAATAACAGAATGTGACTTACAATCACCATAACAGAACTCGCAACTTAACCCACAAAGTCACCCAATTTGAAGCCAAAATAGTTTGAAAACCCTATCAAGCAACAAACATTTCCATAATCAGTAGGAAACCAATTAAAAGTACGACCACACAAAGTTGACATAGTTACACCCAAAGCAAAATTCAGAGGACCAAAAGATAGCTAGTAAAAGATAACCCTAAAATGAAAAAAAATCATAAACTGAAATTCCAAAATATTAAAACAAACATTGTAAACATTTCAAAAATAGGAAAATTTAGGATAAACTAAGTCAAATTTTGATTTTTATCCCCTAAATCATAGGAAATTAAAAGTACAGACTAAGAAAATAAAAATTAGGCTTAACCCAAATGAACTCAAATCAAGCAGCATAAGTATCCCACTAGTTTCATCTCTAAAAAAATTCAAACTCCGAGGAAAAAACACAATTCAAAATAAAGAGCAATAATTTTTTTAAAAGAAAATTAGCAAGCACAACTTAATTCTTGTTTAAAAACTCACATTCCCAGTAAGGTGAGTCGGAATTGAATCAAACTTAATCCTGGCTGTCTCTCCTTGAGCCTCGAGCCGCCTGATCTCCTCCACCAAATCTGGCGCCAACCTTATAATCATCGCAAAAGCCAGCGGATTGTTCCCAGAAACAAGCGAAAAACTCTCTTCGACAGACGGTGCAGGTCCTGAAGCGCCCCCAGTACCGGGGCGGTTACGAGGGGTGGAGCCAAGGGGAAGCCTGCCTGATTGGGTGGCAGAAGAAGGTCGGTGTGGCGGCGGAGGAAATGAAGAGAGGTTCCGAGGGACTCCGCTCCCACGTCCGCCTCCCCCACCGCGGCTGAGCTTGGAGGAACCTCCGTACATTATTTTTGCGAGAGGGTTTTACTAGATTTGTTCCCATCAAGTTCTTGTGACATGAAAATTTTGTGTGCATACGTAAATTTTCACGTATGATTATACGAATATAAATAGAAAGAATGGCGGCGCGTGGCCGTTTCTAGCGGCGGAAGGGAAAGAACGATGAAGAGGAATACGGTAGCCGAAAAGTGTGCTGCGACTGCGAGAGACGACCTTAGGTATTCTATTTTTGTTCCAATTTTGTGCGCGTCCTTTTGTTTTTAATTGCTAGTCTGTCGAATGGAAAATTAAACGGCAAGCTCTATGTTGTTTCAATTATTATTATTATAATAATTATTGTTGTTATTATTATTAGGGTAAATTAATGACCGGTTCGCGTTTCGAAATGATTATTATTTTTAAATTTATGTTAATATGATCATTGAAATATTTAAATAGTTTTAATATATCTACGTATCTATTGTTAATATTTAAAAGAAGTAATTACGTGGCAATTAATAAAATTGGTATAATTAGGGCGCGTGTCCTTCTAAAAGTTATATATTCGTGTTGGCACCTTGCTTTGTTTTCTTCCATTTTGATCATTATCTGCATATGATTTGTTTCATTATGCAATTTGATCTGATTCTATTTTTAATTTGTCTAATGCTTTAATTTTAGCATTAACTTTAAAATCTTTTATTTTAGTCATGTATTAAATTTATATATTAAATCCTCTAGATTTTAGAATTAATTAGCGAGTCAATTCTCACACTTGTTATCAAGATAATACATATGTTATATAACTTGTTCAGGTTTGGACAGAAAAATAAAACTAAAATAACTTAAATTGCATTTGAACTCAAGATTAGTTAGTAAATGTCGCAACCGTCTTTCGAGTGGACCCAAAATTTGGCTTCAACTTAAATAAGTGAGTTAGACTCGCCACCGATCATTTATTTTAAGAACAAAAATTAGGTTGATCGGACACCTCGATTTGTTTTTTTACCTGATCTGCGTCTTGCCAAAAGTATGACGGGCTCGAGAGTCGGTTACAGTCAATGAAGGATTAACACCCTTGTATTGTCCTTTCGGTACTTGTAGACACACTATTTTGTCTCATATATCATGCCTTTATAGTATATTATATTAAACGTATATTATATATTATTATATTATTTATTTATTTTTGTTACACGTTTCAGGTCCAAAACATGTGGCCAGCAGCCCGTTTAGCAGACCCAAATACCACGTGAGCCCAACACCCCAATCAGACCAGCTAGCTAGGGTTCCCCAAAACCCTAGCGTTCTAGCGACGCCCATCCCTCTCACCCAAGGTCTCCTCGCGCACCAAACAACCACTCAGTCAACCACCGCCGAGTTCCACGCCGGATTCCTCGGACACCTCAATAAAGCAGAGTTTAAATCTATATAGGACACAAAAATGTAATCTAAATATAGCAAATCATATACTATAAATAAGTGTAAATCAACATAGTAGAGGGGGGGGAGGATTACACACGATTTTCACGAGAATACTAGGCACAAAATACAAGAAAGAGTCGACCAAATCACTCGAAGCATTTGTAACGATTCGAAAGCAATAAAAGGTAGTCTTTTTTTACCTTGTTCATTCATTTTTTTCGCCCTTGCATGTTGTGTTTCTTGCAATTTGGTTCGAAAATCCCGGAAAAGCGCTAAATCAACCGATGAACGGGGGTACGTTTCGAAATCTTATTTCTCAGATCTACCCCCGAGGCCTAGTTTTTCAAAAGAAATGTTTTGGTTTTCAAACAAAAATGGTCGAGAGCTCTCGTAAAAATGATTTTTTTAAACTTTTGTCGCCGATGACCGGCGCCGATCAACGACGACGGCGAGGCGGCGCACGGTGGTCGATTTCTGGGTTTATGGAGACCCATGGCTATTCTTCTTCATCTCTCAAGAACAATGAGAGAAATGAGAGAGATAGGGGGAGGCTTTCAACGAGAGAAAAGAGAAATGAATCTTAAAAAAAAATTAGCATATATAATTGATCCATGAACCCGCACGCAACCTGACCCATCAGTAGAGGATCCGTGTGTTTTTACTTAAAAAAGGGATAATTACTTTTTGGGCCTTCTTTTTTTCTGCAGTCTTTAATTTTGCCCCAAAATCCGTTTTTAGCTTCGAATCCTTTTTTAATTTGGCCACCTAATTTATTTTCCTTTCAATTTGACCCTTCTATTATTATTAGTTATGTATATATTTGTTTCCTTTATTTTTATTACTTATTTTTTATTTCATTTATACGTTATTACATATATATATATATATATATATATATATATATATATTATTTTCTTTCTATTATTATTATTATTATTATCATTATCATTATTATTATTTATATTTTATTTATTTATTTATTTTGTTTTATTTTTATTCCTTATTTTGATCTTTTTATCTCCTATATATTTGTTTCACCTATTTGGTAGTATTTAGTTGTTTGTTATGTATGCATTATTTTTTTACTCATTTTTGTCTTTACTTTCTTTTTATTTTTTTATTTTCTTTATTTCATTCATTTTTATCATTCATTTTCATTTTCATTTTCATTTTTATTCGATCTAAATTAATTACCTCCGATCAGTTATAAAGTACCCTAAAAGACCAAAAAGGAGTTAGATTTGAAAAACAAATATTGAATTGACTAACAGGAAAAAAACGAGAGTTAAATTATAATACTTGGAACGGAATAAAGAGAAAAGAAATATACATGTACATGATGATAAATACAAATTAACATAATGAAAATGCTAAAATGAATAGAACTAATTCATGCCACGTGTAAAACAATAATAAATTACGCATATTAAAAAAACATGAAATGATAAAGAATAAGAAGAAGAAGAAGAAGAAGAAGAAAAATGTTAATTAAAGGTACCAAATGCAAGATCAAGTACAAACAGAAATAGAAATCGGTTAAATTAAAATAAAATAAAATAAAAATAAAAAATATATAAAAAATGTTGGATCATGAACTAAAAAACACAATGACCTTAAAAATATAATTAAATAAAACATGTATGAAAAAAAGACCAAGTCAAAAAAGAAATAAAATGAATGGTGAATTTGAAAGAAAAATGTAATTAAAATTAAATTTAAAGCGTGATATGGGTTTTAAAACATAATTGGGGGACTAACGCCGCAAATAAACCCAACCCACATAAAAACACGCGAATCCTAGGGTGACACGGTCAGGTTTTCGTGTCGGCTATAGATAGGGTGACACGATCACAATTCACATGACCTTAAAAATATAATTAAATAAGATTTTAGTATTTTTAAAATAAATTTATCTTATATTTACTAATTATTGATTATATATATGAAATTATATTTAAAATTAAATTAAAATTTTATTTAACATACCCAAACTCACGAGCACAAATTAAAATCAAAAGATAAATGTATTATTTGAATCTTAAATATTTTTTCTTATGATTATAATATGGATATTAAATTATTTTAATGATTTCATATATATATATATATATATAATCATTAAAAAATAAATATGAAAATAATAATTTTAGTTTAAAATTATTAAAATCTTAAATCAATTATAAATAAACTATTATAATATAAGTTTTCACTTATCCGTTTTTATTTTTTTATGATTAACTATAATATAATATATATAATATTATAATTAATTCCTAAATATTATATTTAGCTTATTTTTAAGGCTTGTCTGTTACTAATTCAATTTGGGTTAATTTTTTTCTGCCTACACATGAACAAGTTATATAACATATGTATTATCTCAATAACAAATGTGAGAATTATCATAGTGGTTAAGGCATGTGTCACTTTTTGATTGGATTGAAACTTTATTAAATTAATTAAATTGCATTATACAAAAGGTGATATATGTCACAATTTGATTGGAGAAATAAATTTATTAAATTAAATTGAAATTAGGACCTAATAAAAAATTAAGAATTAAAGCTAATCTTGTTGATCGAATTGATTAATTCTAAAATCTAGAGGATTTAATATATAAATTTAATACATGACTAGAATAAAATATTTTAAAGTTAATACTCAAATGGAGTCATTAGACAAATTAAATACAGAATCATGATCAAATTGCATTAAATGAAAATCCAAATAAACAAATCATATACATGTAGTGACCAAAATTGAAGAAAGCAAAGCAGGGTGCCAACGCTGCAAATACGTAACTTTATAAGGACTCGTACTCTAATTATACCAATTTATTATGTAAATGCTTTTGTTAACCGACTATATTAAAAAAATTTAAATAGTTCAAAGATCATATTCAAATAATTTTAAAAATAATGATCATTTCACGATTCGACATTTTTTCGAACGTTTTACCTCTTTAATTTTAAATCGTTACATTTGTCATAAGTCGTTAACACCATTTTAAAAAGAGAAAATAACCTCAGTGACCAAAAATCCCATATAATATACGATTTTAACCAACTTTTTCCGGATTTTCCAAAATGACCAACAAAATCGCAATGCGATCGCTAATTCGCAACGCGATCTCCATTATCGCAAATCAGTTTCCAGATTCGCAACGCGATTATTACTATCGCAATGCGATTTTCCAATTTCGCGTTGCGATTTTCCCAATTCGCAATGCGAATAAGTAAATCGCAATGCGAATTTGGAAAATCGCAACGCGATAATACAAAATCGCAATGCGATACTGACTTTCGCAACGCGATACTTACTTTCGCAACACGATACTGACTTTCACAACGAGATAATACATAATCGCAATGCGATTTTCAAAGCGCCATTAGTATTGCAAAGCGTATTTTATTTTCAAATTCCAAACACGAATATTAATATATTGGAACACTGAACCGTCCACAGTATATCCCGTAATCGCAACTCATAACCTAAAACCTAAAATCACAACTCAGTCCCATCTCCATCTCTCACTCTCTCACCCATCTCCGACGAAATCCGTCCCCATCTCCGGCGAAATCCGTCTATCTCCATCTCTCAGAGCCACCCTCACAATCAGAAATGGAAAATCAACCAAATCAACCACCGAGGGTTAGTTTTTTTAATTATTTTCTTTTTGAAATTTTTGCATTATTATTAGGTTTTTCATATTGAAATTGATGATAAGTTTACTGGTAATTTCAATAATAGATTAACCATTTCACTTAGATTGCTTATTAAATCAACCGAGAATCGCAACGCGAAATGAAAATCGCAACGACAAAATCGCAACGCGATTTTATTCTCTCGTTGCG